GCGTCCAGGTTGGCACGTCAAATTGCCTTAAAATTGCTCGGAAATTGGCATCGGCATTGGCTATCGGTACAGTCAGGCCAAAGTCGTCCTCGCATTCGTCGTCATCGTCGTCGTCGTCGTCTTCTTTAATGAAGCACAATACTTGGCAATGAAGGCAATCGAAATGGGCCACAGAAGCGCGAATGCACAAAGGGGCCTTGTGTCGTAATAACCCTTCTTTAAGAAGCAAACGCCCTTAATCAGCGCAGCGGGCAGCTGTGTAACTACCCCAAGCATAAATCTATTGTCCTAGGTCATTCAACCTCAGCTAACAAAACCTCAACCTTAAAAACGCATGCGAAATGCCATTTGCGCTTTTATTTCATACATATACATATATATTCGCGAAGCTGCTGCACAAGGAAGCCAAATGCATTACAACAGAAATACTTAAGATAAGCAAATGGAAGACTGTGAAAATATCCTAGAAGCAAAGAGGTCAAAGGAGAAGTTTAAGAAGAGGAAGGAATGTATAGCTGAAGGTATATATATGGTATAATAAGATTAGATCTATGTAAATATAGAATCTATACACTAACAATCGAGGCAAAATTAACTCATAACTAGTCGACGAAAACTTTCTCTATATAGTATACAAATTATAGATTTTCAATAAACACTGTTAACTATTTCATATGTATCTTATACATATTTAACTAAATATAACATATATCCTGAATATAAAGAGGTAAATATTCTTTACAATTTCAGGAAATATATAATTTAACAAAGAATCATATATTATATGTATCTCAATAGATATATTATATATAATAAGAATCGCGGCAATACATTAAACATTATACACATAAATCATATTAAAGAAAATATTATCTATATACTATGGAAAGTTTAGCTTGAAAGTCTGAGAGAGAATTATTGACTCTCTTAACCTAAATGCTAGCTATATGTATAGTTATACCTATATAGTATAAAATTATATCCTACATATCTATCCCAACTTCAGTTAATATATATAGCTAAAGCACTTGCTCATTTTATTTCCCATTCTGATCATCAAACAACCCCATTCCACCCACAACATGTCCACAGGGTAGAGGGAAATGCATGCACATGAAGAGAACTAAGTTCTGCCATAGATGCAAGCATATAATATTTTTTTATGTCACGTTTTTAATGACATTTGTTGCATTCGCACTTGGCATTGTGTTTCCGAAAGGGGGGCAACGCCACATAAAAGTGGGGGCAGAAATTAGAGCTGCTACTACATGGCATTGTGCCAATAGAAAAAAGAAGGAAAGAAAATAGTATGTCATAGGCATGTCCATATGAATAGAGAGATGCTATATGAATGACTATATACACATGTATACATATACATATATAACACACTGATTTGATCAAGATGTCCGCATGGTTCGATTGCTGAGAAGTGCAAAAATCCAAACGGCAGACGTAAAAGCCACGTTGAGCAACAGGCAGGCCGTCAGCCTGACAGGAGCTACTCCTGCCGGCTGAACGTGAAGTGCCACTGACAGCTGTCATTTGCACAGGCGAAAGGCAAACGAAAGAGAAAAGAAACCAGAAAAAAAACAGACACACGACGGTTTGACAGCAGAAGGTGCCGTGGCTGGCTGAGTAACTTGTTAATAGGCTTCCAGACGACTGCCAACTTGGCCGAAAGGGTTGCCTTAAAGCCTTTAAAGCAACGTGTTGGCCGAGCTCACGATTCATGAATAATTTGCACAGCAAATTGCAGTAACTACACACGAGAGTGTGCAAATTATCGTTGTCATCGCTGTGATTATCACAGTTATTACGCAAACTGTACAGCGAAACGATAATATTGGCCATGGTTGACAAATTGTCAATGGCATTCGGACTCAATGCTAATTAGCAGCGATTGAAAAATCAAATTGCCAGCCGTCGTCGTACACAGTAGAGGTCCTTGCGCATACAACTAATGTGTGTAAGTGTGTGTGTGTGTGTGCGTGTTAGTCCTGTCTTGGTCGACGCCTACGAAATGACTTTACGCCTCAGCGATTTTCTTATGGACTGTGTCCTGTCCTGTGGCCACTTGAGTTGTGCTTTCTGCTCTATTGGCTACCCATTCGTGGCACGCCCCATTGCATTTCAGTTGCGACCGCAAGCTTGGCCCGCAAACTCAAACTCACACTGGATGACTCCGGCGATTCTGAGATTGTCATTCGACAATGGAAGCAACGGGCATTGATACAACTCCTCGTCGTCGTAACGTAATTAGGTTTGAAAATTTTGCCAATTGTTGAATTTTGTCAGCAAGTGCAATTATATGCATCAATTGTCAGTTGTTTACTGCTCGTTAACTTATTTGATTACAGGCTAATTTGCCTGAGCTGGCTATCTATATGGCATCAGGCTGCAATTCAAGCGATTTTGGCTCTCTCAAATCGAATTACTTGATAAATTGTAAAATATAATGTTATGAATTCTCGGCCGGCTTATTTATGCATCAGAGTCAAATTCAATTTTAAAGCGTGTCCCATGAATTGTGACTAAATATGCAAAGTCATTTAACTTATCTCATTTCAGCTGTAAGCCACCAAAGAGTTGGCACACAAAAGACGTCTTATCGACGCAGCACAGCAGAGCAGTGAGCCCCAGAGTCGTCTAGTTTGATGAAGTGCATGGCATATTGACAAAAATTGCCAAAGCATACCAAACTATGCAAATAAGCACATGGACACGGGCCACACATATGCCAACTCACTCTCCGAGTGTGTGCTCAAATCTACATATAGCAAAATATATATATTTATATATATATAAATTTTGGCTCGTTTGCCGCCTGTGGTGTGGTCCTCTCTCCACTTTCTGCTCTGCCCTTCATTTATCTTGGCTTATTAAATTGAAAATATTGCTTAAAATATTTTGCATGCATGGCCAGGCGATGGCTCTGATGGCTGTGATGGCGGCTACGTCAGCATCATTGTTGGTCCGCTCCGTTGCTGCTCTTGCTGCTGTCCTTTTAAATGCAAATTAGCTTTTTGACTTTTTGATGCGCCCATGCAAGCGACTGCCAACTCTCCCAGACTCTATTTAGATTTATGCGGCTTGATAAATTGTGGCTACACTTAATGTGCGCATACGGTGTGACATGTCCTTTTCATGTCACTCCAGCCAGAGCCAAAAAGTTAGACCTTGTCTACGGATCCGTGTGCTGGCGTCTCCATTTCTATTTCAGTTGACATGTCGAGTGGTTTTGTTGGTTTCCACCAGTTCTTGTTGTAGTTGCCGCCTGCTTTTTATGCAGCGTTTACTCCTGCGCTGTTGATTGCGGCTGCTGGTTTCAGCTTTTCGGTTGTGCCAAAATCATTTTGGGTAAATTCTTGCTTTGTGGTTCAGCTTTGTAATTAGTTTTGCTGGGCGAATCACTGAGTGGAGGGTATATACTATATACAGTTCAGCTTGTTCCATTGATCATCTAGAAGTATGAATATTTTTATTAAAGAGATGTCAAGCAAGAGAAATATTATTTATACTTATTGTTTGATGACTTGACATGAATATCCTACACACATTCGCTATATAGTTCCCATTCCATCACTAATCTGTATGATGAATAAAGCATTTATTAAAGCGATGTATAGAGAGAAATAGTGCATACTTACTCATTGCTTGTTCGATCTCCATATCTCAGACCCACTGCCTTTCTTTGCGATTCTCATAAGCTATGTAATCATATATCTCCTTTCTCTCAGGTCATGAGAAAGACATTAATCACAGAGACAACGAGTTTTAATCTCTTATTAATTATCCGTCACGAGTTTTCAGGTCAACACGCCAGCGATATAGTAAAATTAAATTTAAGCCACAACATACCCTTCACTCACTCAGATTATAAAAATCAATTACAATGACTGAACGAATCATTTGAATTATAACACTTTCCCATGAAATGCTTTCGTAGCGCCGCCACTCCATCAAATATCCAGTTGAAAAGCGAAAGGCATGGACATTTAACATGCATTTTAAAAATACCAAATACCAGAGACCCGTGTCCCCTCCACCTCCTCCTGCTCTTTCTCTTCCTCCTGCACAGCCACTGAGATTTTTCAACATTTTTTAGATTGATGATGTCGCCGTGTGAGTCGCTGCATTTGTGCTAGTTGTGGCAGGCATAGCCAAAGGCGCAACGCGCACCCACACCCACAGCACGCCACTTCCCCCATTGGGCAATGCGTCAGTTGAGTTGTCAAAAAAGACGAAAGGAAAAAAAAACCAGAGCAGAGCAGAGCGCGGCACCCGCCAGCGCAGCGAGTAGAAAAACGTGTACAAGACCAGCCGGAGAACCAGAGAGAGAGAGAGAGAGAGAGAGAGAGTGATTCGAGCTGAGTGTGTTGCACGCGTCCCGGCCGTCGCTGGTTTCCGCACAAGTTGCTGTCGATCAGAGGCGGTTACCGAGTTGTGCATTTCAACATGTTTCGTCACGCCTTGAAATTATTTGCTGCTTACATCTCGATTTGATTTGAGCATTTTTTAAGTAGCGCCTAAGTTCCGGAGTTAAGTGAATTGCTTTGTGTTTGTTTTGTTTTGATGGCGGGTGGATGGATTTCTTTGATAATCTAAATTTTCAGCTAGGGGTTGCATTTTAAATACATTTTAAATGGCTGTCAAAACGTGTAAACGTCAAAGAGCATAACGCACCGAAACAGTTGCAATTTCAGCAAATTTTTAAGTTCAATTTTCTGGGAATCGCAAAAAACTTGTAAGCTACGCTAAAATTATATAATTTTAAAAATGTTTACAATATTATATTTTTCAAATTTACAATTTTAGAACTCCTTGCTAATAATATTTACACAATTTAAAATTTTTGTAAAATTTGTAAGTGCAATTTTCTGAAACTTTTGGCAAAACTTAAGAGCTCCTCGCCAATAATATAATTTTAAGCAATTTACAACTATTGAAAATTTAAGAAATTTCATGTCCAGTCAAATCTAACAACTAGCGTAACTAATGTGCACTTTTCGGCTTTCGAGTTAGTTGTCAAATTGATTTCAAAATTCATAAATCAACTAAAAGTGAAGCGCAAGCAACACCGACGCAAGTCAAGTACAAAATTAAATTAGAACCAGCAGGAAAACCAAGGGCGGCACAACCACAACCGAAAAATGTACAAAATGTTAAACATAGCATCAAATTGTATCGGACAGTTCCAAAGAGAGATAGAGAGAGAGGGGGGAGCCACAAGAGTCGAGCAGAAGCATGTATGTTTGCTTTCATAATACATTTTTTTTTTCTTCTTTCAAATAGTCGTCGGCATCTCGGCTAGCTTAGTCCAGGCCCTCGCCCAGGCCCAGACCGAGGGCTGGCATGTGGTGCGTGTATATTTTGATGCAATTATAAATTGTTGGATAACAAATTACATGGCTGCGCGCAGGACAGACGGACGGACAGCCAGACAGTTAGACATACAGATGGACGAACGTACATTAGTTTAACGCCCCAGCTCCTCTTCCTCCTCCTCCTCCTCCTCCCCCTCCTAATGCTCACGCACATATGTTGGGCTGCTGGGCTGGAATATTTGGGCTGACATTGATACAGGTACTCGCTGACAAGACATTGCCTTATTGAGGCCTGCTGATTCAGGTGGCACAACTGTACCGGGAAGGTTGGCTAGGGATCTATATTGATGATGTATGAAAATATTGTCCCATTTGCTGGAACGACATGCGGGCAGCAGCATCGTCCGCTCGCTCGCTCATTCGAGGGTGGCCAATTGCATTTGTAGCGACAATTGTCGTTATTTAGCATTAATACTAATAATCAAATAAATAAACGTTGCATTTTAATTGCGACAGTTGCTTTTGTTGCATGTGTGCGGCACATCAATTGGAGTAAATGCATGGCCATTGTTTTGTTTCGGCCAGCGGGTTTATTGAACTAGCGCTTAAAGTCTTAAAGCTGTTCAGCTCTTCAGCTCTATACGCAAATGCCATCCAGTCAGCTTCTATTGTCAGCGCCTTGTGCAGCTCCAATTCCATTTGCCACCCATTTGGTTGTGGCCCTTTGTTGTTTTAGCCAAATGCGAAAAGGGTTCATAACCGCACTTAGCTTCATTGGCTTCTGGCTTTATCGTGCGGCCCAGACGTAGCATTTTAGTAGCTGTTTAGCTGATGTTCCCGAGCTCTCGACGTTGCCCACTTCAAATTCAATTCAATTCGGCTTCGAAATTGCACGCAGGTTGCGCAAGCATTAAAATTAATGAACAACAATAAAAGGGCTCTCAGCTCTGGAGCTGCACTTGACGTGTTTTGTTGCCGACTTTTGACAACTGCCAAATCCGCTTCATATCTCCGATAACTCTGCATGTCTGCATCTCTATATCAGCGAAATTTTTGGAGTTAGCATAGGTAATACTATATAGCATAATTAAATGATATACATACCGAAAAGATATATAAGTTTTACTGCCTTTTAAGACATGAATATAACTATTTTTGTGCATAATTAAAATCCCTATAAAATGCACATAAATGCTGGAAATTGAGGCCAACAATTTTAATGATATTAGAGATAACAAGTAAGAAAGAAATGCTCGACCAGCAGATACCCTGAGTACTTAGTTTTTATTTTATTTTATATTATTTTATAAAAAAACATTATATTTTTATATAAAACTCAGATCAACCGTCGGATTTATATAAATTTAATCTATTCTTGATCAAGCATATATCATAATTATATTTAGCTAAAGACATAATACTCCCATTTTCAATACATTCGAGGGTATGAAAAGGGGGAACTCATTAGTTTTGAGCGCTCGTAAATTAATTTCAATTTCTACATGTCGAGCCCCAAAAGCCCATTAAAATTGAGCCATGATGCCAATTTGGCATGGCAATAGATGTGCGTATGGAGCGAAGAAATGCATGCATATGCAAATTAATTATAAATTTATGATTTCATTTTGGCAAAGCGATGCCAGTGACGATTGCCACATGCGAGAATTGGGCGGAAAGCGGCGACTTAGGCGCTGTCTGCATGGATCATAAACTAGCAGGAGCAGGAGGAGGAGGAGGCGAGTTGGAGGGCTACAGCAGCAATATGGCTCATGTGTAAAGCCGTAAAATGTGGCACGAAAAGCCCAGCGCATTCGATATTGAAGGCAACCTTTTATGGCTCTATCAGTGACGCCGGCGACGACGTCTTGTCTGTCTGTCTGTCTCTCTGCCTGCCTCTCTGTGTGTGGCTGTCACGCACATAATTCTCGAACATTAATTGCGCAATTGTTCACAGATAGAAATGTGCACAGCCTGAGCAATGGGAGGGGCAGTGGCCGGAGCAGGAGCTAAAGCCAGAGGGCCAACTTTAACTTTTTAGTGGCCCAACAAATGACGTACGATTTGTTCTGCACGAATAAGCCAAATCATTTGTAGACACACAACAGCACTTTGTTTTATGACTTGACAGCAACTACCGCTCTACGCATTTTTTACCACCTACCCGGACGGAAACTACTTGTCTATGGGGGACGACAACGCCCCCCTGCTCCCACCCACTCGCTGCCTCCAGCGCCCATCTGTCTGCTGTCCTGCAATCATTGCGTACCCACCTGATGCCTGCATGCGGGCTAATTTATGGCCTGCTGGCAATATGTGCGCCTGTGTGTGTGTGTATTTGTTTAGCGGCGTGTCCTGTTGTCAACATACGTATAATTTTTCATTTACTGCTAAGTGTTTTTCCCTGCTATTTCATAATTCTCGTAATGACATATTTCTCTTGACGCTCGAGTAGTTCTGTTTGTTTTCTTAATGTCAAGCGCTCGGTATGTTTGGATGGTAGAGTACAAATGCATAAAGACTCACGTGCATTGGCATGGATGGGCACGGCAAATGATTGCGTAATATGCGTTTTGTATTAATGTACACATTCACTTTCTTAAAGCACATTTCACAAAAGCAGCTTTGCATTTTTCACTTTAATTTTATAATACGCAATAAGTCTTATTGACGCGAGTTGACGTTTTGTGGCGAATGTCAAAAAGTATTCGCATATATGCGAATGTCGAATCGACAGCGATCACACTTATCGATATATGTATATATTTACAAACACTATCGTATAATATAAAGTGCCAAATTTATCCAAAAATTAATATAGCTATAGATTTTTATAATATGCACATTTGTTTTTGGAGCATGATATTTAAAATTCAAATTTGTTAATTAAGCAAACTTAACGAAAGTTCGTTGTGAATGGCAACAATCGAGTTTAGCGACATTTAAATATCGCATAGCTGACATCGATATTTAGGTTTAATTAAAGCTTAAAACTTTCAAATGCAATTTCTCGCTAGAAGCCATTAAAATTTGTTTTTAGCTAAAGGACCTGTGCATATGTAATACGGCATGTAAATTATAAACCGAGTATAAAATACGCTTTACGCTTCGTTTGATTTACTGTGTCGCTGTGCGTGTGTGCATGTGTGTATTTCGGCCGCCTACACTTGTTATCGCCTGGAAGGCATCTCGTTTAATGTGTTTATTTTAATTTTCAATGTCTGTCCGCCGGCGTTTTATTGCTTTCAATTTTTGCGCATGTTTTACGAGCGCATTAACAATAAGACAAACCAGCCGATGCGAAGCCCAACAGAAATGTATAAACTCAATTAGATAAAAGACGACGGAGTTGTAAAATTCACTTGGCTACACACGCAAAGCGAGCGACGCACCCACCAAGCAACTCCTCCAATTCTCTACTACAATTTTTCTTCTATTTCTATTTTTTTGGTAGCGTGTTAATTTGTTTTTAATTCCCAAACTGGGCGGACTCAAGCAGAAGGCCTAAAGACAGAGAAAGTTGAGCAGTTTTTGGCTATAAATTAACGTTTAGTTACGCTACATAAAAACCTGTCCGAAACAAGGGGAATGAGTCGGTGTAAGTGTGGGTGTGTATGTATGTGTGTGTGTGTGAGTAAATTTTACTTGCACGCTTTAAACTCAAGGAGTAGCATACATAACCTTACTTATTGTACAATTCTATTGAATGTATACGCTCTATATCTGTACTTTTCAAATATATAGGATATACATATATCCTTAATATTATTGAGTATTTCGAATTATTTAATCTCACTAATTTAAGTATTAATATTTAAGCCCAAAGTCTATATATATATTGCTAAAATTAAATATATCCCTTTAATTTATTAATCATATGGTTATCCCCCCTATTAGCCACATATACACCCTCACTTTCTAATTATAAAACCATAACCTCAATTTCTAACAAATCTCATCAAGTTTATAACATTACACATAACCTCAGTCTCAATATAATCTCATTTATATACCATACAGAATAACCATTCTTTCTACCAATCTAATAATTTAGTTAATGAAAGCTACTTTTATGATTTGACTGCTAAAGATCTTGTAATGCCCAATGTGATAAGAAAGCATAACCTTAGCTGCTCACAAGCTGACTTAGATCATTAGGCCCCATTGCACTCTGTCAGTGGCATCATTAGTTTTATTTAATTATGGCTGCGATATTGATTGCTTTGTTAAAACATATTATATGAACCCCATCTCAAACAACGAGAAGTTCAATTTAATGAAATACGATTATAGGAATATCTAAGCGAAGACCTCGGCACGGCTCGGCTCGCCACAGATCTCGTAATTTATTTGATAATGAATAATGATGTTGATTTGACACTCTCTCGCCACGGCTGAACATCAAATGGATTTCGTCACGCTTCTAAGCAGCCCAAGCAAATGATAGAGCTCTATTCTCTATTCTATTCAGGCAGTCCCTAGACACATCATTTGGCTGCGTAGGCAGCTCTTCGTGCTACTTGGGTAGAGAGCTCCATGTGAAGTTTCTTTTGTTTTCTAATTTAATTAGACTCCAACTGATTCTCAATAGCTATTGAAATTGTACTTGATCTTTTAATGGAGCATGAAATCTAGAACGTTTGATTCAACCAAAAAAATAGAAAACCGACCGCTAATGATGCCTCTAATTGGTTACAATAAGCTGTGTGGTCCTAACAACCGTGATAAAGGTCGGAGTCCTGTGAAATCAATCGTATTCATAATGAAAGTAAAAATATGTTTATACCCTGGAAGCCAGAAGAAATTCTTATAAAAGGTATTTAGTGTTTATGCAGGCACAGGTGACTTGTCAACTTCTATATATCTTTCATCTGGTTGATCAGCTAGTTTCACCCCTTTGTTCATATATATGAACTCAGCGATCTCGTAAACTAAGAAAGCTAGAGACCTCAAATTTTAAACGTATATTTATATAATGCTTATGACATATAAAAGAAATATCTTCATTCGAAATCCCTGTTAGATCTGTTTATTATCGACATAAATCGAGGGCGATCACTATATATATTATATATTTATGTGTGAAGGTTTAGGGTATCTGCTAGTCCAGCACTCCCTAACACTGCACTCTTACTTGCTATAATTAGAGAATTCGTAATCAAAAAACTTGACTGTCTGTCTCTATAGATGCACACACACACACACACATCTATCTCGTATTTCATGCACCCTCTTAACTGCTTTGGCATAATTTATAAACTTGTCTGTTTCGTGTCGACATTCATCAAAAATTTGCAGCTCTTCTTCTTCTTCAGTTCTGGTTCTTGTGCAACTTCATTAAAATTAGCTCATAAAATTTGCAGCAAAATCTTGTTTAGTTTTCATTTATGGCTCAATGCATGCAACCTACACGCATCCGCATCCGCATCCTTGACAGACGCATTTCGAGCATAATTTGCTGTGACAGCATTTGCCTGGGCGTCCGTAATTCCACTTTACCAAATGACATTTAATATGCAAAGTTTTCGGCAGCCCCCGAAATGCGCGCTTTATCTTTTGGCTTGACTTTTGTTGATTTTAGCACCAACAGCGACAGCCGCACACAGACACACACACACATAAGATCTATAGATCTACGATGCACTTGTCTGGGCCTCTAAACAGCATAACATATCATAGTCTTTGACTGACTAACCAGATACCCTGTTGTGCGCAACACCTTTGGGTTTATGTAGATTTATTAGAGGAAGTCGCATTAAAGTGGGTTACTCATTATTTGCTTCTATTGTAGATGAGTTTAGCTCAATAAACTTGTGGAATATTCTCAAAATAAGTAAAGCTTAATCTGGTATGTTCATAAATTGAATTAATTTTTAATTCATTTCTCAGAAAATAAGCTGAAGCGTGGTGTGAAAGAGATAGGAACAGACGGAGAGCCGGACAAACGGAATATTAATCTTAAGGATAGATAGATGGAGAGCGGAAGTAGGCTGAATTTCAAATATAATAATTTATAATACATACAATAAATAATAATATTATAATAAATAGTTGCACTGAAAAGTCTATCTGGTTTTACACTCCTACAAATGGTCCAATGTAAACCACCTTGAACCATCTGATTCCAAAAAGTACTAATTCTATACATAGCCTGTTGTTACATATAAAGTCTGCCACGCCTACCGCTGCCCCTCTCATATATATGCACAAAGACTTGAAGCACTAAACACCCTAATTTATCGCCTTATACAGGGTATTAAAACAATAACGGGCATTTCAAAGTGCATGCTCTCGAAATACCCTTTATTACAAAATAGCTGAGCATGCTTTACGGCTCGCACACACAAAAATACACATCCACACACACACAGAGAAAGAGAGAGTGAGAGAGAATCGTAAAGTTTAATGACGCCATTTTCGAGTCGCGCAAAGTTGCCTTTTGAAATATGAATAGACCCTCAGGTTGGGCATAGACACAAGGAGCTCGCCATCTAATGCTAAGGAGATTAGTTCAATGGCATCGTCAGCGACGTCGTACTCGACGTTGTCGGCTTTTTCGGTAGCTCCACCAATAAAATTGGTTTATGCGATCTGCCAGTACAAGAACAACAACAACAACAACAGCAACAACTTTTTGCCAGCCCACTTTTCAATCGGGCTGTAATTGACATTGTTTTCGTAGCTCCTGTTGTCCAGGACAACAGCCGTCCTTAAGCCCGGCACGAACACACACAAATTAAGCTCGTAAAATTTAATATTTTTGCGCAAAACTTTGCCGAGGAGGTGAGTATTAGTAATTTATTAGTGGCTTAGAGAGCGCTGTGGAGTTTACGCCCTGGACTTTGCTATGCATAATTTGTCCTTGGTTCTTAGGATACTTGAGATACTTTAGAAAAGAATAACATAAAATTTAACTACTGTTCGAAGTTTTTTTCTTTTTTACTTTTTTTATTTTGCAACAAAACTCTATTTACATAATTTAATAAATTGTAAATTTCATAATTTTGTGTGACTTTTTTCTTGGGTATACTTTAAAGATGGAATAGAGTATTATCGTTTTGAAAAATGGGGAAATATATGAAGTATATTTTATTAGCAGTAAATATATTTCTAGGAGTCGTTTGAGTATATCTTTATTAAACTGAATCGATAATTATCTATATTCCGTTTCAAAGCATTCTAACATGATAGAATGAACTGCCTATCTATACGCCAAAAATCGAATATTTCGAGCAAGCTCTACTTATCTAACAATTTTTTATTAGCCAAGTCCATTAAGCTTTGGATATTCCTCTGTCTATAACAAACAAATCTCCAGTCCTCACAAATCCAGCGTATGTTATCACAGTTTCAGAGCAGGAGACTTTCTAAATGTAATCGCTCCACTCTTCTCTAATATCTCGACCCACATTACAGGGTATCGTCCAGCTGAAGCACTCTTCAAAAATGTTCTTTAAAGCCTACGCAAGCATTGCGTGTCTTGAGGAGTTTACCGCTACGCTGATTAGACTTTCCCATAACCAACATCTCGTTTTGTATTCTCACCCCTTTTCGGATCTGCTAAGTGCCAATCAAAATAAGAATTTTGACAATAGGAAAAAGTTTCCCAAGGCAAATTGCGTGTGCGGTGGTCTACCAGCATAAAATTGCTGACGGATTTTCCCCAGGGTCGAGGCCTCAGGTACGACCGAGCTCCGGGTCGACCCAAAGACTTAAACAATCCATCAAAGAAAACGCTGCGCTTTTCATAAGAATGCATCAATAAAGCAATAAAATGTCTACAAATCAAACGATAAGGTTAACAGCGACTCCGAAGCTTGCCAAAGATATAGGTATACAAACGTATGTGGATAAGTCTTTGGAAAGGGTTACGAAAAAGTCACGTACAGCACGCACCGCTAACCGGCAATAGACTATTAATATTAATGGATAGGTTTAACACATTGGGCGTTGCAGCTCGTTGCCAAGAGCGCATGGGCCTGTCAAGAAGAAAGTTGTCTTCCTCGCCCAAGGCCCCCCCCCAATCCACAGATTGACATGTGAGTGTGTGACACCCGATCAGGCAAAGGGTGCAAACCAGAACCAGCCTGGCATGACGAACGTATATATCTCTGGCCTTGGTTCCGCAAATCTCGTTTGTATACGCCACGAATTTGATTGATTGGCATTCAGATGTCGATGAATGTTTCGATAATCAAATCGTTTTTGGTAACTTAATGTGGTTTTGCTTGGTTATTAGGAGTGTTCGTTAAGGATAGGCTGGACAGCGATCTGTTACATTATTAACGGATGTATATATCGCTCTATTTCAGTGTATATCTTGAATGACATACACATACAGTTTAACAGAATTGTTTTCTAATGTTTGTGTATGCTATAAATATTATCTTTTATAGATCCATTATTATTTTTATTTGAGTGAAATTTCAAATTTAAATATTATTACATTTCCTCTAAACATTATCTATTGAAATTTTACTTGTTTAAATTATATTTAAAATTTTTAATTTAAAGGTTATAGAGGCAATTATATATCTCAGTTCCCATAGGTCTTTTTTGAAAAAAATGTCTAAGAGTTATTCGATAATTTTTTTTTTTTTTTTTTTTTTTTTTTTATTTCTTGGTTTTAAAGCAAAATATTATAATAATTTTAACAAAGTAAATCCTAGTTTAAGCTTCAAGCTCAGCTTCCCAATTTCAATAACTTGTTTATCATATTTTGCTGAGACTTTTTTCTAAATATTAGAACTGTCAAAACTTAACAAAAAAACTTGTTATCTAAAACTTAATACATTATTAAACAATGTAATGATTAGTGTTTCTGAAATTTTTCTCTTAAGTAAATATTATTAATATGAGTTTATAATATTGTACATATAAAATCCATTTTTTGCTCTATTATTAATTTATAGTTTTAAAGTAATATTTTTTTGAAAACAAAAATTCCAATTATGTTCTTTTCTTATAAAAAACAATGAAAACTTAAAACGTTTTTAAAACAATAATTCCCATTTAATAGTTTCGCTGAGTAATTACTCACTAGATATCAGATCTATAGATCTATATATATACTTGTTAATATTAATTAAAAATAAAATAAATTTTGCAATGTAAATCAACTATTTCATCTGCCTTAAGCTTTTATAGTATAACAATAATTCTAGGCTTTTCAAATAGACTTATTCTGATTGTTTAAATTTGCATTATAATGGCCTCCCCTTATAGCTGGACATCTATTGGGAGTATTTATGTGACATTTCAAGTTCCATTTGGTGGTGAAGGTTTTGTTGCAAGCCTCGCACTGGAACGAGCGTGGACTCATATGATTGCGTACATGTCTGCAGAGGTGAAAGTACTTTTTGAAGGTGAATTGGCAGTAGGGACAGACGAAAGGGCGCTCCTCGCTGTGGGCCAGAGTGTGTTCGTCCAGGTCCGACTTGTACTTGAACGCTCTGGAGCACTGGCCACACATATACCGATGCTCGTTGCTATGGCTCTTGATGTGTTTCTGCAGCCTCGACTGTTTCCGATAGACTTTCGGGCAATGTAGACATTTGTAGATGCGTTTTCCGACATGAGACTTTTGGTGTTTCAAGAAGTTATCAATTGTGGTAAACGAAATTACGCACCGCTCGCACTTGAACATACGCAGATTACTGCGCAGTGCGGTGGGACTGCTGACGTTCTCGCAATAGCTGAGGTTTAGCATCCGTGTGGATCGGCGCAGGGGATATCGATGAGTCGTGCCTGAGTCCGCGTCAGCAATATCTAATGTTGTGGAGTCTGGTCGATCACAGTCATTGAATATGTTTTCCATGATCAACCTCTCGCAGCTGGTCATTTTTCTCTTATATGGCTGCCTTTTTTCCAAATTCCATTTGGATTCAGCTTCATTGTCCTTCACTTCGTCATCCGAATCTGTGTCCAGCACAGTGACTTCCTCTGGATATTCCATGCTTACTTTCATGCAGAGCAACTGATGGCTCTGCTGGAGTCTGCGCTTGAATCGAAATGCGATTTGAGCATTTAAGCCACAGGAGACGCAAATCTTCTGAGGCAGCTTGTCGTCACGAGCGATCTTAAAGTCCACCAGCTCGTTGAGCATCTCCGCCACACTGTATTCATAATCAGCCAATGGCCGATCGCAAAATATATCCACCAAGGTATGCGACTCGCTCATACAAGCACGGCAAATTTCCATTTTCATTTAATTTTGGTTGTTCGATTTTTAGTTATTTACGTAAATATTTTGACTTGATCACGTGTGACATCAAGTTTGAATGCCAAGTGACAATAAGTATCGATAGTATTAGTGAGACAACGATTTATGATCACTGAGAATGAACACTAGTGGAATGAATAAAATGAGCTTAGGTATCGATAGTAATATAATTAACGAAAGTATATCATAGCGATAATAGCGCAATCTGAATTTAGAAAACTTGACGCTTTCGTTAAAAATTTCGTTTCATTTGAATCAGAAAAATTTCAATTCAATTTGCTGAAATTCTTATAAAATTAAAAAAAGGCAGGCTGAGTTGTAGCACTTTTAATGAGAAATTATACAATTTTAAACTTTCATGTTCGCTGTTCGCTGACTTTTGAAAATCGTGAGAGTCGAATTCCAATACGAATATACATAAATATCGATTACAATTTACATCAAGACTAATCACTGACATTTAACTTTTCCAATAAGAGACTTTAGCTACCATCGATACTTTTGTATGAAAGTGCCATCGCAATTCAAACTGCTCCAATTGAGCGAGCTGCTGGTCTTCCGACAATTTGAAAACATTAAAGTAAAAGCAAAACTAAAACACTTGTGACGCAATAGCTGAGTTGTTGTTTCGCCCTCGTAGACAGTCGTAACTCCTAGGGCAACAGGACTTTTCGACATCCAATTTGAGGCAGTGTCCACCCACAATTACGTTGCGACTGCGCCACATTTCCGTTTTGACCAAATTTCAGAGCTGGTGATTGACTTGCGCTACGCTTTTATGTGCGACTGGGACAAGTGAAAATGAATTTTCATTCCGGAATACGCAAAAAAAAAAAAAAAAAGAAAAGGAGAGAAGGCCCACAGATCGAAAGTCAACGAAAAATGTCTTGTGTTATAAAAACTAATGATTGGCAATTGGTTTTTACTGTTATTGCCGCGCCCTGTTTCCTTGTTGGGCGCAGAGGCGTGGCAACGTGGAACTGAAATTGGAATTGTATCGAGGCCGAGAGTTCTACGCATTGTCTTGCAATACGCATAATTTCCAGCCGCGTGCACTTGCAGGAAAATCGTAAAATTTGATTATTATAACTTCCTTTCGTCGCTTGCTTTGCATTGTATTAATTTATGTATTTATATTGCAGATCTTGCTACATCTTAATTGTTGGCGCTTCCGTTCGAGATGCTACATTAATTTCGAAGTAAATCCCATGGTCTCCATTCACCAGAGAAGAATAGCTGTATCCATATAAAGCGAGCCAGGTAAATTAAGTCAGGCAGCGAATTTAAGCAAACAATACAATTCCACATTGTTGCAGGCCTTCAACAAATTCTAATTTATTGCAATTATGTGACGCATGTCACACTCACTGCTGACCATTGACCAGGAGGCCGACACGTGACCAATCTGCTTGCCCCGGGGCCACTGATTGGAAAACACTAAACAGATAGGCTAGTCGAGCGGGCGGCCAGACAGCAGCTGTCCGACCATTCTATAGAGATTTATTTTACGCTGATAACACGCTTAAGTAAATGCAGCGCACACACAGACACACACACGCCGTCGTCGTGGACGTCACCCAGCTCCCAGTTCGAGTTCGTACAATTTAAATGGCGATTAAATCTGTTGGCATTGATGGATGTGTCCAAGGCGGCTGCGTGGCTAGCGGGCTGACTGGCTGCCGGGCTGCCAGGCTGCTGGGTTGGCAGCCTGTTCTGTGGTCAGTCTGCAGGATGCGGCGCCGTGTTAACACTTTTGTACAATTGCCAATTTTTCGCCAGCGCCTGCTGATGAGCTATCCTCAACAGCCGAGCAGCCCGCCTGGCCTGACTGTGTGTGGGTGGTTGGTTGGTTTGCCTGGTTGCTGGCCAGCGGTGGCTTTTGTGGTGTTGTCCTCGGCTGAAAGCCTGTTCTTGCCGTGAGTGGGTGGACATTGAGTTGGGCTGGCATGCGGCTACACTTCAATATTCATTTGAACGCATAATTGATATTGACGAACAATGTTGCCGTGTCGCTACAATGTTTCAAGTGCACTGGGAGAATGCGCTAAGCCTGCATTAAGATATTTATATGTGTATGTACTTAATTCATTTATATATTACATATTTAATTTTGATTTTTAAAAACATGTGTATTTATTATATCCTATTTAATTTTCATTTTATAGATATATGTATGTATTATTTCGTATTTAATTAATTTATATATTAATTTTTTTAAATCTTTTTTTGAAAATAAATATACATATGTAATTTTGAATGGAGTATGAATTTTGATTGTATTTATTACATCGTATTTAATTAATTTATATATTAACTAATTAATGTTGATTTTATAAATATGTGTATGTATTATATCGTATTTAATTAATTTATATATTTATTTTTTAAAATCTTGTTTTATTATATAAATATTTGTATGTATTTAATTAATTCATATATTACATATTTAATTTTCATTTGTAGATTTAATTTTGATTGTATTTATTGTATCGTATTTAATTAATTTATATATTAACTATTTATTTTAATTTTTAATTTTATAAATATATGTACCTATTATATCAAGATTTTAAAAAATTAATATATAAATTAATTAAATAATTTATATATTAATTTTTTAAAAACTTGTCTTGCAAATAGTTAAAATTCTGCTCAGCTCTCTATTATCTTAAACATATTTAAATGTATAATTACTATTTAATTAATTTAAATGTAAATAACTAACTCATTATATTATGGGCAGTTTTAAAAAAATGCTAGTTTGAAATAAATAGAAATTCATAGAGTTATTCACAATTCAAATAAGGATTTAAAATCGCTTTTGTATGTATAGAATACAAATTTGTTATTTATTGTTATATTTTTTTATTAAGGTCAGCCAGCTCTGACAAAGCGGGATTTTTTTTGTTCATTTTTAATTTTGTAATTAGTTTTTAAAGATAAAAAATTACTAATCTCTGAAATATATTTTTCATATTTAAATCTTTGTATATAACATGTACTTTACTTTATTTTAATTTTTTCTCTCAGTGCACAGCCTCTTTATTGAACATCCCTTATAAACTGTACTCGCCGTATACTTGGCAGTTAATTTTTATAAATTTCCATGTCATGAATGTGTTTTCCGTAGCATTTTCCGCATGCAACATGTTTGCCATTTTCATTTGCCTCCCGAGTATCTCGGATTTCATTTTCGTCAACTGGCCAACAGTAGGGGCGGGAGGCGGGGGCGTAACTTTTTGTACTGCTGCCGCTGCCGCTGCTGTTGGTTCTTCGTTTCATTTTCATTTTCTATCTGTCAGTGTCATGTCACGTTCAGCAAAATGCATTCAATATGTGCAATTGTTGTTCGCTTGCGAAGCTGCAGGAGTGTAAATTTAATTTAGTTAATTGAAACAATTTGTTGCATGCGACAACAGCAACAACAACAACAACAGCAGCAACAATTCGTCGCGCCGTGAGTTCATTGAAAAGGCAGCAGCAACAGCAGCAGCAACAGCAGCCGCCTCCTCACATGCCACGCCCATTATGCAATACACGTTTTAACTGATTTTCGTTTGAGAATTTTCTTTTTACATGCGAAATTATATAGAATCTGTTCGGCGCCTCGAAACATGTCAATTTTATGTGCGTCTGGCAGAGCGCAGCGGGCGGTTTCTCTCTCTCTCTTTCTCTTTCACTCTCACTCTGTTCAATTTGATTGAAAATCCATTCAATACACTTTGTATATTGATATATTAATTTATTTATTTTTATTTATTTTTTTTAAATGCTTTGGTCAATTTGCGTGCAAATTGAGACAAAGCCGGGACAGTTCCGGCCCGGCCGCAGCCAATATACCATGCCATATATAAATTTAATTAAAATCCTTTATCCCTCCAAGCATATTATATGCATTCAACTTTAAGTTTTACTCTAGAGAAAATGCAATTCGCATTCCTCACATCTAATTAGAAACACTTTGCCTGAATTAACTAAGCAATTAAATAAATACGTGAGCTATTCAAATGGCGAGCTGTGCGTGGTGTGAGCAGGTATGAACAGGTGTGCAGAGAGAACGACTTCATGATACCCTATAGAATTTTCATTAAAGTATTCAAGAATTCATGGTAGATATTGTTGGACCTAATTATAATAATCCTCAATTTTAATATATATAAATAATCCTCCTCATTTCAATTTACGAATAAAATAAAATTAAATTAAAAAAAAATTATTAAAATAAAGCATAAGAACTAAATTAGTGACCTGCAACTATTTATTATTAGTTATTAAAAAATTATTATAATAATCTATTTAAAGATATTTTCTTATGGAAACTTTATTCGTAACTTTTATATCAAAATATTAAATAAAATATTTGGTGAAATGTTACAAAGTTCAGTTTTATTTTATTTTAAGTAGAATAAAAGAGAGTCGAATTAGAAAAATAAATAGAAAATAGAATTAGAAAAATAAATAAATAGAAAGTCATGAAGATCCTGATGATGCGCAGTGTACTTATATATTTCTTAATACAAATATAATATTACTATTTATGATATGGTTATTTAATCTATCTATATATCTACACATATACGAAAGAAATATTTATTATATAAATAGTTAACTATATCTTTATATAATATAACATTTTAGCTGAAGATGTTGACAATTAAAATAAGAAATATTTTCAAATAATTTTTTAATATATTGTTTTAGTTATTTATTATTATTTTTATTTATTTCACATTTTATTTTATTTTTATTTTTTTTTTGAAAAGTATTGTTAGTGTATAATATTTGTGTTTCATTACATAGAATATTTAAATTTCAATTTATTAATTAATAAAATTATTTTTTAATATTTTAGTTTTAGTTAATTATTATTTTTATTTATTTTAGATTTTATTTTATTTTTAGATTAAAAAAAAAAGTAGTTTTAGTGTATAATATTTGTGTTTCATTACATGGAATATTTAAATTTCAATTTATTGATAATATTAATGGTTTGCGTAAACTACTCTCCTCTCTTTTCTCTCGTCCTTAAGGGCCAAAATATCTACTCTGGTCACACACTAATACTACTACAACTACTACAAATACAACTATTGTAAATGCCATGATTAATTCACGTGCATTACGCAAAAAACGCATTTGAGCGTTAAAATGCAAATTACAATAAATTCCAATTGCACAGGCGGCCGTGCCCAGTGGAGCCGAACCACAGCCCCGCCCTATAGCCCTATAGCGAGCACTGGGTAAACACTTGGTAAATTTGCGTAAAATATCTCGTATTTACCTTGCACTTGACGCTAAGCAAACTACAAGATACAATATACAATTATGTAAACACACACACACACACACGCACACAGACACACACATGCAGAGGGTCTTCGTGCGTGGCTGAATAAACATGGAAATTTTGTGAAAATAGACTTTCGAGTGTCGATTGAACGCAGGACACGTTGAGCGTTGCACATTTTGTGGCCTATCAGGTGGTTAGAGCCGAGGTCCCTGTCACTTTGAATGACAGCCCAAGTCAAGTCAAGTGCTCGGCCATTGTTGTTATAGCTGCTGCACCGTCTCCCTCTCGCAGGATGCGTGTCCTTATGGGAATTGCATAAAAGGCGACACAATGTGTGGCTGGTGCTGGGCCAACGGCTAGTGCTAAAGTTTTATCACGGCTTTGGCCGGCTTTTTCGTTTAATTTAAATGCAAACTTTGCAAACTGAGGCGCAAATTGTCTTTGCCAGCCCCCCGCCTACGACCACACCCACTTTACGCACTCTGGCTGCAATTTCGAGACGCATTACGCATGCATGGCTGGCCAAATAATGTTGATTTAACATTATCACGAGGGCAGCAGAAGCAGCAGCAGCAGGAGTAGGAGCAGCAGCAGCAGCAGCAGCAGCAGCAGGAGTAGGATCAGCAGTAGGAGAGCCTACATAGTCAACATTGTGTTGCAGCAGCTCTTGAAATGCCTGCGAGTCGGAAACATTCGACGAATTCCTTTTGTTCCTCATCGTCATTAACTCGTGCCGAATTGCTAATTAAGGCTGATGTCACCGTAACCGTAAAGGGAAGGTCTTCAGCTTTATCACATCATTGTGTCTATAGTAGTCCGAGTGGATTATATTGGAGCTGCAGTTTAAGTAGTGAGCGAACTTTATTTCAAAATAGATTCATTTCGTACAGCTATAGTTTATAGCTGGGCAACGTGGATAAGATTTAGTAATTTCTGAAAAAAAAAAAATCTTATTATAGTTGTGTATTGTGAATAGGATTTAGTAATTTCTGAAAATTTTTTGATTATGGTGTGATACACCTTTACGGCTTAAAATGCTTCTGTGATAAAAAAAACTCTTTGTCCTATATTATAATTAATCCGCATTTAGCTGCTTCATGATGTTAGTTCCAGCTGCTTATAGACATAGGAGCTCTATAATTACCTTACTCGTAGCTATATTTTCTCGCCAAAAGACTCCACGTAATAATAATAATATAAAAATAAAAATATAATAATAATAGTAATAATAATAATAATAATAATAATAATATAATAAAAATACAATAAATATATTCATATTTTATCATTATACAAATTAAAATAAAACTTTATCTCGTAATAATAATAATAATAAAATATATTGTAATATAAAAATATATATTATAAAATATATTAAGTATTTTTTTATTTATTGTATATGAAAATACTTAATTATTGTTAAAACAATTTTTAAAAAATTTAAAAAATTAAAAAAAAAATATATATATAAATAAATATGTATAAGCATTAATGAAATACTTAAAATAAAAGTACTTGAAATTCTAAAAATATACACCAATACTCTTATATATACATATACAAATATACTCGTATATACCTATATACAGATATACATCTATTTGACATAGACTCGCTTTGAACGCTCTGCTGCATTTGAAAGGAATCACATTTTTCTTAGCCTTCTCAGCATCCCGTTAAAGAATCAATAGACATAGCAGATATATTTTTCCACAATCAATGCCCATTCTCAGCACACTTCAAATGACAACAAATAAGTCTACTTCAGAGTGATTAAGCGACAAACATCAAATAAACTGCAATAACAAGTAGCCCGACATCAGCTCAATACAAA